CTGGTATCCCTACAGCTGGGGGCAGTGGTGCTGCTGCCACTCAGTTTTCACCTTGACATGTATGGGAATGAAGTTACTTTTTTAATGTGAAAATAAGAGTAATATGTAAGTTTATTCTACAAGTATAAGCATCTTCTAAAGACGGTGGAAAGAAATAAATTTCAGATTCGAAATTGATAGTCTTGTAATTTCTGTTGCCAGCTGCTGAAAGGAAGGCTTTTGCTATCTGAAGAACTGCTTCTGGTTCTTAGAATCCTAATGTCATGGAATTGTAACTGAAAAATCAATAAAATTCTCCAACACTCTTTGCAGGATTAGAAAGCAGGCATCACTTTATTTCTGTGCCAGGCACTCAGGGATATCTCCTATCCCTTGAATTAGCAGTTTATTTATACTGTAGAGATATACACATTCAACATGTTTCTTAGAAAAAGATTGGACTGTGTTAACTGTTTTCCTGAAATTATTAGCACATTTATTCACCAGTCTGAGTTCTTAGAAGAGGTTGCATTGTATTAATTTTTCCTTATATGAAGTTGTTTGTTTTCATTTATACAGCTAAGACCCCTGGGTCCCCCCACTGTGAACTTGATGAGCAATCTTGTGCACCCAGATTAATTATGCCCTTAGCCATATCAACTCTTAGCCCCTGGTGTTGTAACCAAACCAGTGGTTTGAGTTGGAAGGGACCTTAAAGATCATCTAGGTCCAACCCTCCTGCCATGGTCAGGGATTTCATTCTCTAGATCAGGTTGCTCAGAGCTCCATCCAGCCTGGCCTTGAACAGCTACAGCTTTGCTGGGCAACCTGTGCCAGTGCCTCACCACCCTCACAGTTAAGAATTTCTTCCTAACACCTTATCTAAACTTGCCCTCTCTCAGCTTAAAACCATTGCCCTTTATCCTGTCACTGTCTGCCTGGATAAAAAATCTTTCTCCATCTCTCTTATAAGCCCCTTTAAGGTACTGCAGGACTGCAGTGAGGTCTCCCCAGAGCCTTCTCTCCCCCAGGCTGAACACCCCCAGCTCTCTCAGCTTGTCTGTGTAGCAGAGGTGCTCCAACCCTTTGATCATCTTCATGGTCTCCTCTGGACCCGCTCTGTCAGGTCCAAACTTCAGTTTGAGGACTTGCCTACGTGTCCTCTGTGTGCAGCAGTCAGCGTAGACAGGTTGGTGCTCTGAGGGGTGACTCTTCAGGAGCTAAGTGCCTACACCTGATAAATACAGAGTTATCTCCAAGCTGGTGTGCTGCACATGTGGCTGCTGGTTCAGTTGTTGCTGTGCAGGGGTCCTACAGACTGTATAGGACAGGAGAGATTCCCACTGCACAGCAGCAAAGAGAGGGGAAAAACAAAAGCTTTCTTGCAGTGCTGTTTCTTGAACTTCCAGAAAGCTTGTGTAAGTCATTGCACAGGTTTCAACAGTGATGTAAAAAATAATCAGAGTAATTACATGGGAATCACTGTTTTTACTCTGGGGTTTGAAATCCTTCATTGTATTTCTAGTTTAAAATTAGTTGCTTCTTCAGTATGTGATGGAACATATGATAAATGAATTAAGGAAATCCATTCTCTTTTGTTTTCTCTTCTAGAAGAGATTTTACTCTCTTAAAGTAGCTCCTAAAGTTAAAAGCTCACCAACTGCAGCAAAAGTGAAATTATCTCCAGAGTCTGAGGATCTTGAGGTCAGTATGAGTACTGGTATTTATTTCTCTTTCCTTTTAATTTATTTTTTAAAACTCAGTCAAAGCAGAGCTGTGATTGTACTTCCAGTGAATGACTAAACCATTTTTTTTTCCTCTTTAATACAGATCACAAAATTACCAAATGGCTTAGTTATTGCATCTCTGGAAAACTTTTCTCCAGCTTCAAGAATTGGTGTGTTTATTAGAACAGGCAGCAGATATGAAACCACCAGTAACCTGGGAACTGCTCACCTGCTTCGTCT